GTTCAAACTTGCAAATAGAGAAATTTAGTAGATAGAATTATAACTAAAAAATGGTATCAGAGCCACATTTCATACAGTGGTATAATTATAATACTAATAGAACCTGAACTATTATAAGATTCTAATAGCAGTTTGCAGTAGTAAGTTCAAAGTCGTCGTGACCCAAAGATCATTAAGGCCAAGGAAGAGCCAAGAAAGTGTAGGGACTGTTTTCGATTGACTCGAACTATGATGGCAAATTTTATTAGAACTCTATCTAATAGGTCAGCTACTACTAGTAGTACATACATGTGGATAACCATGAGGAAATAATAATTGATAACATAGAAAAACAAATTCACAACTGGAACATACCTAAGGTATATGTTTCAGATATTTATAGTATAGGAACTTTTGATTTTAAAACTAGTTTTTCTATTAAAACTATAGAACAAAGTATTTCTGTCATGGAAACCCAGAATAAATTTCAACTACTCTCTCCAAGAATGATTGAAGATCATAAGAGAAAGGAATATAAATATTTACGTATTGGTCTTGTCTAAATAGCTGTAAAACCTTTAACTAGAACATGGCTAAATAATTCAGTCCTGCTCTGTTTATATGGTATCAGAGCCAAGTTTACTTATACAGTGGTATAACTGTAATACTAGTAGAAAACTGGACTATCATATAAGATTATGAGAACAGTTTACCGTAGTAAATTCAAAGTCGTCGTGACCCAAAGATCACGTAGGCCAAAGAAGAGCCAAAAAAGTATAGGGACTGTTTCTGATTGACTCGAATTATGATGGCAAACTTTATCAGAACCTTATCTAATAGGTCAGCTACTACTAGTAATACATTAATAACCGTGAAGAAATAATAATAGATAATATAGAAAAACAAATTCAAAACTGGAACATACCTAAGGTACATGTTTCTGATATCTATAGTAAAGGAATACTTGAATTTAAAACTAGTTTTTCTATCAAAACTATAGAACAAAGTATTTCTGTCATGAAAATCCAGGATAAATGCCAACTACTTTCCTCAAGAATGATTGAAGATCATAAAAGAAAAGAATATAAATATTTACACATTGGTCTTGTCCAAATAGCTGTCAAACCCTTAACTAGAACAAGATTAAAGAATTTTGTTCTACTCAGTCTTAGAGACAGCAGACATAAGCGATTTACTGATTCCTTACTAGGAATAGTAGAATCCAGTCTCTGTAATGCGCCAATTTACTTCAACTGTTTTCCAAACTTTTCAGTGGCCCTAACAGATCTAAATCTCTTAAAGGTCTTAACTCTAAACGTTAAAACTCAAGGTTTCGACATGGACCCAGGCTTTCAAAACTTAGCCTTTGTTTACCAAATATGTTATAAGGTGATGAACACCTTATGTCCAAATGCTAGACAAATGGATTCTATAGGTTAAACAATATTTTTCCAAACAAACATGGAAAAATCTAACCTTGTCATACCAAAGTCTATAGTATGGTCCTAGGTAAAATTACCTGAAAAATTGTCTTTGCAAGCAGAATCCTAAATCAAGGCTCCAGAAAATAAAGACCCTGAACAAATAATAGAATACTCAGATGGAGAAATAGAAATCAGTTTTCCATCTTCTAGAAGGACCACACTAAGAATAGCTGAACCTAGTATCCGAGATCCTCCCAGAAGTTCTACCTCTTCAATTCCACAAACATAACATGAAAGACTGTCTTCCCATAGAAGGACTATCATCGAAAGATTAAATAGAACTCCTAATCAGGTTCAACAACCAGTCTATAGAGTTGAAACCCCAGGTTCTTCTAAACTAGAAGAACGAGAGCCAACTTCGTCTGATCTAGACTTTGATATCAATGTTATACAAAAGGAAGAATTTGTAATTGACAAAGAATCAATTATAAAGGACTTTTACTCTGAAGAAAACAAATTAATAAGAGAATGCTTTTTTAAAGAATTTAAAGAACCTCTGAGAGATGCCTTTCATTATAAATTATGATAAAACATAAGGCGACGGTCAAGTTTTTCAAATGGTTAAAATATATAGCAAAAGATTATAACATCAAAATTCCAAAGTTTGAAGTAAATATGGTAGAAAAATCCTTTCAGACATTTCGAACCTCCAAGGGAGAAACAATTGAGTCCATTCATCCCCCTGAGACTAGTCTAATACTTACAAGAGAAAAGTTAGGAGAAAAAATTGAAATTAGAGCCTTACCTCTAAAATTAGGACCCAAAGAAGGTGAGCAAAGCATGGATAATCTTGATAAAATACCTCATATCATTGAGCAAAATAATTATACAAACATTTTCCTCCAAACAATAGGAAAACAAGCCACCCCGATAGAAAATGATATAGATAAGTTAAAACCAACTCCGGAACCCAGAAGCTTAGAGAAGAAAAGGGAAGCTGTCCTATTCAAACCTCCTCCAACTATTGAAACAGGGAAATTCAGCATGCAAGGAATAAAGAAAAAAGAGAAAAATAGTGAGCTAATAGATGAACTGGTCAAAAGATTGAAAAAATTGGATATTAATCATAAGGCTCAATCCTCTAGAACCCAAAAGGGAAATGTTCAGGTCCTAAAAAAGGCACTTGATGAAGAGATCAAACAAATAGAAAAAACTTTTAAAACTGAAAGCTTAGAAATAAGTAAGATTGATTATGACAAAAAAGTGAGACCAATATCCCAAACTCCAATGTACTATCTTAGACCTATCCCGGTAGATCTACAAATAGAAGAAGATTTGATATCAACCTCAGTTTTCTTCTCGGAAAAATTCATCGTAAATTAAAATATTGATGGTATGGTAGAAAACCAAATCCTAGATCTCATAAAACACATGACTATGTATGCCACCGCCTGCAAGGCAAGTGGAAATCAGGACTATGAGATAGCCAAAGCAATAATTTGTGGATTCACTGGATGGCTAAGAGGTTGGTGGGACTTCCATATGGATGAAGACTCAAAAAATCGAATATTGAATGCTACAAAACAATGGATAGTAAAGAGAGAAGATGGCCAAGAAAATATAGTACAAGAGGGTGATGCAGTTAATATATTGATCTTTACTATAACCCTCCATTTTGTAGGCAGTACTGCTCTGTTAGCAGCAAGATCTGAGGATTTATTATCTAACCTTAGGTGTCCAACCCTCTCTCATTATAAATGGTACAAAGATGTATTTTTCTCCCGACTACTGTCAAGGGAAGACAAATCATTGGAAAGAAAAATTCATAGCTGGTTTACTACATCTCTTTGCAGAAAAGGTAATGACCAGGCTCAAGAACACACATGGGGGACTTATTCCTTATTCTTTATATACCTTAGGAGAATTATCAGTAGAAAAGCAAAGAATAACCGGGAGAAAAAAGCAAGGGGATTTTTGTGAACAATTCGGATTTAATACTTTACCTCCTTCAAAACCTTTTCCAAAAAGAAAACATGAGACAATCAAAAGAAGGAAGTTCCGACCTTACCAAAAACCAAAAGATAAATTCTCCAAAAAGTTTCTAAGAGACATACCATATTTCAAATACAAGGAAAAAAGAAAAATCCATGTTTGTTAGAACTGTGGCAAGGTTGGTCATTATAAAAACAAATGCAGGGTCCAAAAGAAGATTAATTCTTTAGAATTAGATGACCATATCAAAAAACAATTATTTGAGATACTCCAAATTGAAAATGAAACTTCGGATTCTTCCGAGTCAGAAGAAGAAATGCTAATTGGAGAAATCAATTATGAAGATATCATTTTCAGTAGTTCTGATTCAGATTCTGACAACGAAAATAACTTAAAAAAAGCAAAGGAAATTGCCAATGCAACTATTATAAAGCAATAATAGATATGAATGGATTGAATATTAATACCC